GAGAAAAGGCAGGTGCCTCCCGGGGTGACACCCCTGTGTAATTAAAAAGCGATTAACAATAAGGGACAGAAACGCGCCCTCACATCTGTGGATGGCCACGGAGGCGGTGGAGGCCGGGGAGGGCAGGCCGCTGGACACGGCGTTCTCCGCCTGGACGGTGAACCGGTAGTCCACCCACGGGTGCAGGCCGGTGACGTTGACCAGGGGCGCGGTCAGCCCCCCCGCGCCCGGCTCGAACCGGACGGCGTCCCCGCAGGCTCCGAATCCCCCGCCGGACCCCCCGTCGCGCCGCTGGCACCCCACCCCGTAGGTCAGGTCGGTCCGCCCCCCCAGGTCGGCGGGGGGGTCCCAGGAGAGCGCGAGGGAGGTGGGGCTCAGCCCGTGGGCGGTCAGGTTCCTGGGGGGCGACGGCGGTCCTGTCGAGAGAGGTGCGCCGTCGTTTTTTCGGGGGCCGCCGCCGCCAGCAGATCTGCTGAACGTGGGGTCCCCACCCTTGGTCGTGAAGGAGCCCCAGCCCTGTACCCCCTCCAAATCGCCTCTTCCTACAGACGGGGAAACGCTTACACGTTACAAGTTACAAGTGGGGGATTGGTGGCTCTGTGGCTGAGGAGCTGTGCCTGCGGTTGGGGAGGTTGCCGGTTCAAATCCCGCAGCTGGCAGAGGGATCCTACTCCGTTGGGGCCCCTGAGCCAGGCCCTTCACCCCCCCCAGCTGCTCCAGGGGCACCGTATAAACGGCTGACCCTGTGCTCTGACCCCCCAGCTTCTCTCTCCCTGTCTGTGTGTCTCCTGGAGAGCAAGCTGGGGTCTGCAAAGAGACACATTCCTAATGCAAGACGTTGTATGTGGCCGATAAAGTGATCTCTATCTCTAAGTTACGCAGCAGTTTTCTTTAAGAAGGCAGCTCCTGTCCTTCCAGGCGCGAGATCTCTGTGCCAGTAAGTTCCATCATTTAAGAAAGTGTCTGCAGCTGATCAGTAGATCTTTTAGAAACCGGTGATTCGACAGGGACCTGTAAGTGCTAGCGCCGATTCGGCTCACGGCTCACTCCAGATCGAGACCCAGCCCTCGGTGGTCGACAGCGCGCTTAGCCGTGCGCGCGTCGCGCTCCTCTACACAAAGGGTGGTGGGAGCGTGGAACAAGCCGCCCAGGCTGGCGCGGAAGAGAGGGGAGGAGGTCTGATCCAGCCTGAGATGGTCAAGAGCTGAGCTTGGAAGGAAAACCTACTGGGACCGCGCTCTAGCTGAAGGAGAT